AGCTTTTCCAGAGAACCCAGTTTGATTCCCAGCACCTATATGGTGGCTCACAACTACCTGTAACTCAAGCTCCAGGGGACCTGACTTGTGCTCTTCTGGCCTCAGCAAGCACTAGGCATGCATGCAGTACATAGACATACATGCAGGCAAAAGTATTTGTACACATTAAAAACACATTTTTATACAGTAGGCTTTAAAAGACTAAGTTGTACTTTTTTTGGCTTTTCGAGCCAGGGTTTATCTGTGTAACAGCCTTGACTGTCCTGGAACTCACTCTGTAGACCAGTCTGGCCTCAGGCTCACATTATCCACCTGCCTCTGCCTCCTGAGTGTTGGGATTAAAGGTTAAAGGCGTGAGCTACCACACCTGGAAGCTTTTATAATTTATTTATTTTTTAAAACAAGGTGTGTTTATGTAGCCTAAACTGGCCTTGAACTTGGTATGCCTCAGCCTCTTAAGTGCTAGGATTAATGGTGCACCACCTACCACCATGTCCTGAACCATTCCTGGCTGGGACATATACTTTGAGGCCCTGTTTCTTTTCTTTTTCCTTCCTTCCTTTTTTTTTTTTTTTTTTTTAGACAGGGGTTTTCTGTGTAGCTTTGTAGACTACACAGGCCTGGAACTCACAGAGATCCCCCTGCCTCTGCCTACCTACCGAGTGCTGGAATTAGAGGCGTGTGTCACCACCACCTGGCTCTAAGCCCTGTTTCTTTTGGATATTTTTAGTCCACCGAATTAAGCTTTTTAAATTTAATTATTAATTTACTTATTTTGAAGGCAGGGTCTTACTATGGAGCTTTGGTTGCTGGAATTCCAAGAGACCTCAGTGCTGGCCTTAGTGGCATGTGGCACCATGGCTGGCCTGAATTAAGCTTTTTTGATTTTTCATCTGTTCAGTGTACTCCAGGTGCTTCTTTGTGACAGGCATTAGCCAGGGAGGGAACAAAAATGACTGCATTTTGTTCATATCGAATTTTCAAGGAGCACAGAGTGCAGTGGAGACATATGGCTAGGAGTAGATTAGATGAGATCGGGCATGTTTGGGTGGTAGCCGTGGCTAGAAAGAGAAAAGGGAGCGGGAACCCTTTGGGACACTGTCCCCTGGCTTGGGGCTCAAAGGTGTTTCCATAATGGTTCTGGCAGGTGTCTGATAGAAATGGGAGGCAAAGGTAGGGAGGCTCAAGTGTAGCACATGGACATGGTAGGCCAGCCATGGAGCCAGGATGTCATTCTGAGGCACTCAAAGGGAGCCCTCAAAGGGGCTGAAGCCTGGGAATGGTAGACTTGGTTGTGCTTCAGGAAAAACTGTGACTGCTATGTGGAGAGGGAAGGGGAAACCAGGAGAAACTCTTGGAGATAAATGATTACATGTAGTGCTCCTGAAGGGATAGAGGTCCAGATTAGGAAGATGGTTGTACAGCAGATGGGAGGCAGTATGGAGATGACCCCGAAATGAACTTTGGTAGTGGGTGGTGTGTGTGAGGAGATGCTTGATTGCCAAGCACAGCCATGTGGAATCATGTTCTTTCCCACCGTCGGGAGGGAGGGCCTGGTACGTTAGGAGGGCATGGTATTTGCATATGTGTAATTTGAAACACCAGAGGGAAGTGCAGTTTCAAGTAAGCATTTCAAGAGTGGGTTTGGGGTCTAGGGAGGCCAGGGCCCCAGAGAGTCTAACATGTCAGCAGGTGGCCCCACATCTCTTCTAGAATCAGTGGCTGTTGGATGAACCAACAGGGGCCATCTGCCACAGGACAGTATGGCCTGGGAAGAGCTGGGTACCTTGTCCCTTCATCCTTTCTCTCTTTGACTCCCCCAGGGCAGTCCGGGCTCTCTGTGACCACACTGCCGCAGGACCTGACCAGTTGAGCTTCCAGCGTGGGGAAGTGCTTCATGTCATTGCCACAGTGGATGAAGACTGGCTTCGCTGTGGGCGTGATGGTGTGGAGGGGCTGGTGCCAGTAGGATACACCTCCCTTGTTCTCTAGCTCTGGACCTGTTTCCTTTTCCTGGGAATGGAATAGCTCATGAAGCATTGTTCCTTCTGCAAACACACCTTCCTCCCCAAATCCGTTTCTGTGGACAGTTAAAATAAACTTTCCTCCTTCTCTCATCACCCACCTGGAAGGTGAAAGCTGCTCTTGCAAACATGTAGAAAGGATTTCCTGTCTACAGGGCTCCCTTGTCCTCCTCCATCTGCCCAAGAGAGCATCACCCTTCTCATCTGCAAATTAGCATCTGTCCCCCTCTACCTTCACCCAAGTGGACTGTGCCGGTATAGTACATGCCTCTGCCCCCAAGCCCACAGGACTGTGGTCTCCTGTCTGTCCTTAGCCCTTGTTGCCTGTATTTAAGATGTACTCCTGCTGTGTGAAGTGCTAGAGGGAAGCCTGGACACCCCTGGTGGGTGGGCCTCTGGCATTGGTCTCTCTCCTTCCTTCCTTGTCCCAATAAAATGTGGGAGTTGATCAGATGTGTTCCTGTGGGTTTCAGAGTTTAGGGACAGCTGTGGGAGAAAGGCCTTTCATTGGAGCCCGAGGCAGGCAGACACTTCTTCCCTAGCGTATCGGTATTTTATTTTTATTTTTTGGGTGGCTAGGGAGACAGGATCTCACCATGTAGGCCGGCTGGCCTCAAGCTCAGAGATATATGCCTGTCTTTGCCTCTTGAGTGCTGAGACTAAAGGCATGTGCACCTGGCTCAGATGCAGTGTTTTGGTGTTTTTTTAAAACACATTTGTGTGTGGAAGGGAGTACTCATATCATGGCTCATATGGAGTTCAGAGGATCACTTGTGGGATCTATTATAGTGGTTCTAATCCTTCCTAATGCTGTGACCTTTAATACAGTTCCCAAAAAAACCCAAACCAAACCAAACCAAAAAAAATGCTGGGTGGTGGCACACCCCTTCAATTCCAGCACTCAGGAGGTAGAGGCAGCGGATCTCTGAGTTTGAAGCCAGTTTGGGCTACAGACCGAGTTCCAGGACAGTTCCAAAGCTACATAGAGAACCCCTGTGGGTGGTGATCCATAAAATTATTGTTTTTTGTGCTATTTGACTATAATTTTGTTATGAATCATAATGTAAATATCTGATGTTTAACCTACAAAAGGGTCATTTTACCATCCAAAGGAGTTAAGACCAGTTTGAGAACCACTGCACTTTTAAATCTGGTGGGAGTTACAGGCAGCTGTGAGCTTCCAATGAGGGATCTAGGAACTAAGCATGGGTCCTCTATAGAAGCAGCAACTCCTCTAGATGTGTGTGTGTGTGTGTGTGTGTGTGTGTGTGTGTGTGTGTGTGTGTCTGGCATGTGCACCATGGCACACCTGTGTAGGTCAGACAGTAACTTCCAGGAGTCAGTTCTTATCTACCATTGTGGGTCCTTGGGATGGATGAAACTCAGTTCATCCCTTTACTTTGTTTTTATACTGCTGTTTAGTTGGAATAAAGATGAGGGAAGATGGAAGCATAGCCCTTGAAATTATTTAGAATTTGAGGCGAAAGAAAGATTTCATGTTGAGCGAAGTGACACTTTAACACCACCAGTCTGCAGTGGCACAGTTTTTTAAGTAAAAGCAACCTATCTTGCTATCTGTTAGTTGGTTAGGTTGATGAGTTTCCTGTCAAACTTTTGAGATAAGAGGTCAGATATCCTAGGGATTCATGATAAAGGAGGTCTAGAGGAGAAATAAAGGGGAAAAAAAAAAAGACAAAAGCAACCAGGAGGCTATGATTCTAACCATGCAACAGGAAAGCACCAAGGGAAAACAGACCCTGGCAGTAAAAGTGAAATAGGGCAAACGGTCTAGGGGATTTTTATCTTTGAGAATTGTGGGTTAGTGACAGGAGATACTTATCCTGTAGTCCTAAACTGTTGAGAGATGCTTAGGGGTGAGAAACTCAGTCTACTCAGTTTTCCCATCCTACTTCACCTGGCTCTCCCTTAATGCCCAGAATCATTTCAGTGGCTCTGTCCTGTTCTACACTGCCTCCCCCATCCTGTGCTGCAGCTTTAATGTAAAGAATGAAGAGTTTCTGTGGCTAATCCATTTCTAAAGCCTGCCTTTAGTTGAAAACCTCTGGCCCTACCTTTTTTTTTTTTTTTTTTCCTCTCTCTCGAGACAAAGTTTCTCTGTGGCTTTTTGGAGGCTGTCCTGGAACTAGCTCTTGTAGACCAGGCCGGTCTCGAACTCACAGAGATCCGCCTGCCTCTGCCTCCCGAGTGCTGGGATTAAAGGCATGCGCCACCAACGCCCGGCTCCTACCCGCTTTGTGCCTCTACACTTTCTCTTTCCAGTAAGTCCTAACATTCTACCACAGGATAACCAAGGCTAGTTGTCTTCTTTCCGCTCTCACACATATCAACAGCACCATCAGCGTCTTAGGTGATGATCACTGCTCTTCTCCTAGTGACTGCTGTCACTCTATTCTGCTCAGACTCGATGCCACCACCTCACCCATTTTGAACATCATTCGTTCTGTTGCCACTTTTTTTTTTTAAGATTTATTTATTATGTATACAGTGTTCTGCCTGCATGTCAGCCTGCAGGCCAGAAGAGGGCACCAGATCTCATTACAGATGGTTGTGAGCCACCATGTGGGTGCTGGGAATTGAACTCAGGATCTCTGAAACCTCTGAGCCATCTCTCCAGTCCCTGTTGCCACTTCTTAAAGCTTGCCTGTCCCCTGGTGGATTTGATGCTGCTTCTTGAGCTGTGCTTTCAGCTTGTCCCTATTACAAGTCTTACATAGAGTGACTTCTCAACTACATTTTAATAGCATTTGGGAATAAGGCAAACCCCTGTCTTCCTTTTATTTTTCTGAGATAGGATTTCTCTGTGTAGTCCTAGCTGTCCTAGAACTTGCTCTGTAGAGCAGGCTGGCCTTGAACTCACAGAGATCTGCCCTTCTGCCTCCCTCCCAAGTGCTAGGACTAAAGGAGTGAGCCACCACTGCCTGACCCTGCTTTGAAGTGTGAACTGAACCTAGGATCTCATGTGTGCTAAGTAAGTGCTCTACACTGAGCTACCTTCCTAGGCCTAAATTCTATTTTTGAAGGCATTACCAACACCTCCCGCTCCCTCCTCCCGTCTTAGCTTCCTGAGGACCAGTTATATAGGTATGTGCACCACAGCCAGCATCATTCATATATGTAATATATATATTTGCATACGTTTGGATTGTGTGAGTGCATGTGTTTTGGAGTGCTTGTGGAGGCCAGAGATACCTCCCTTGGCTGCCTTCTACTTTATTTATGGAGGCAGGGTGTCTTTGCTAACACCCTGGACAGTTTGCTCTGAGAATCCTGTTTCTACCTCACAGTGTTGGGATCATAGATGAGTGTGCCTGTCTTCCTATTATGTAGGTATAGGGATCCAAGCTAAGCTATCTACACTGAGTTATCTCTTCAGGTATTTATTCTATCCTTAAAAGAGACAGAACTTGAGTTTTTGAAGCTCCTTTAATTATAAATTACCACATGTGTGCTTGTTCCCCTTCTGAAGGGTTAGAATTGTAGGTAGATCACCATGCCTAACAGACATAAACATCAGAGACATCTGGCTTGCCGCATCTGTAGCCACAGCCTAATGAATGGTGCAGCATAGTGCAAGTGTGAGCAGAACAGTGGGATCTCCTTGCAGAACTTGAAATAGACCAATAATGTAAAACTTAGCTTTTTAAAAGTAACTTATTATTTTTATTTGCATTGTTGTTTTGCCTGCATGTATGCCTGTGTGAGGCTGTCAGATCTTAGAGTTACAGATAGTTATTAGCTGCCACATAGGTGCTGGGAATTGAACCCAGGTCCTCTGAAGAACCACTGAGCCATCTCTCAGCCCCCATACAATTTAGTTTTATAACATTATTACATCTAGAGCAGGAGTTTAGTAAATACCAAAGCGGGGGGAAAGCTGGTGTGCACTTTTAATTCCTTTTTTAAGCAGTAGGGAGGCAGAGGCAGGCAGATCTCTTGAGTTCAAGGCCAGCCTGGTCTACAGAGCAGAGTTCCAGGATAGAGAAACCCTATCTTGAAAAAAGAAAAAAAAGAAGAGGCTGGAAAGAAGGCTCAACAGTTAGGAGCACTGGCTGCTCTAAGCCAGATTTAGTTCTTGTACCCACAGTGCACAACCATCTGTATCCAGTTCTGGGGAATGCAGAGCCCTCTTCTGGCCTCTACCAGTACCAGGCATACATGTGGTGCCCAGACCAGATGTAACATGCAGGCCAAACACTCCAACACTAAAATAAAATAAAAGATGAAAAGAAACACTTAAAGCATTATTTTGCAGTCCTGAAGAGACTTCATTAATAGTGGCAGCTTCAACTGTAGATGGTACTTACAATTGTAGCTAACTGCCTTGGAGTTCTTTCCTTTTCTTCCCTTCTAAGATAGGACCTCCAGGTTGGGGATTTTAGCTCAGTGGTAGAGCACTTACCTACTAAGTTCAAGGCCTTGAATCTGGTCCTCAGCTTAGGGGTGCAGGGGTACAAAATAAAAAGACAGGGTCTCATTGTGTAGCCTTTGCTGGTCTGGAAACCACAGATTGGCCTGCCTCTGCCTCCCAGCAGTACTGAAATGAAAGGTGTGTGCCACCATGGCAACTACCTTGATATTTCTGAGCAACTATATTCTACCAGATTTTCCAGTGTAAGAGACTATGTCTGGAACAAAATTAAGTAAAGAGGGAGTTTGTCTAATTAAGTAGGTAGGAGTACTTTGGCTTTTTCTTTTTAGGTGTACATATATGGCGTATGCATTTGGAGGCCAGAAGTCTTTTTTTTTTTTTTCATTTGTTTGTTTTTTCGAGATAGGGTTTCTCTGTATTGTTTTTGAAGCCTCTCCTAGAACTCACTCTGTAGACAAGGCTTGCTTCGAACTCACATCTGTCTGCCTCCTGAGTGCTGGGATTAAAGGCATGCCCCACCAACACCCGGCCTAGAAGTCTTATTTGATTGCTTGAGACCAGAGCTCAAGAATTCAGCCTGTCTAGTAGTCAGCCAGTCTGCTTCAGGGCCCCTTTGTCCTGCCCCCTAAACAATGATTACTGGTGGGCACAGGGCCTGCTGGGCATTTACCTGGGTGCTGGGGACTGAAGTTGTGCCATTGTGCTTCCTAGCAAGTGCCTTACCCATTCAGCCATCTCTAGCCTCACTTTGGCTCTTTTTTATTTACTTTTTATCCTTAATGTTTTTTAGTCTTTAATTAAGCACATAAAATCACACTATTTAGTATTTTTCTCCACGAACTTCTTGTGAAATTCCAATTGCAGTTTACTGTTTATGTGTCTTCTGATCATTTATACCTTTTGCACACCGCTTAAAACAAAACCACAGCATCATCCCACATTCTTTTAACCTGAAGTTGGCCTTGAAGAACCTGGGGTGGGTTGGAGAGGTAATTTCTACAAATGTATTATTTGAGCACAGAGACTGGGATCCCACCTCCAACACCAGTGACGAGATATCT